GCGGGAGGGGTCTGTGAATACTCTAGGTGACCCTGGTTTGGAGTCAAGGTGGAGAACCAGTCCCTCCACTGAACTCCCAGCCCTGCTTGCTCCGCCCACCCCGCCCTCAACCCTGCCTATTTTGGGGGGAAGGGGGGGCGCTGGTGCGCCTGTGTTTGGCTGCTCCGTGGTGGAGAGCAGAGCAGAGCAGTCCGGTGGCTGACCCATCCGTATTTCAGCTCCTGCTTTTACCCACAGGTGCGATCTGGAACCATCTTTGACAACTTCCTGATCACAGACGATGAAGAGTATGCAGAGAGATTTGGCAAGGCCACCTGGGGCGAAACCAAGGTACGGTGTCCCTCACATGCGTGCACACTCACTTGCCTTTCCTCACCGCATTTTGTCTCTTTTAATTGAGGTCTAACATTTAGGGCAAGGGTTTCCTGGGGGTCACCAGGAACTCTTGGCCACTGACCAAAAGGTTGTGTGTGGGGGGGTGAGCTCATCCCGAAGTGCCTCGGAAGAGGCGCCTGGCAACCTGCTTCCCAAAGCCCGTTGCCTCAGGAACGGACAGCGCTGACCCGCATGCATGGGGTCCTGCGTCGGAGGTGAATCAAATCGACCAGCAGCAGCCTTTAGGAAAGGGCTGGGTGCATTTTATCCCAGTGAATGCCCCCACGGTGCTTCGGAAGAAAGCCCTGGTGATCTGCTTCCAAAAGATCACAGCCCTGACAGCTCCGTGGACACAAGTTCCACTCTGGACACATGATGTCCACCACGAGTTGGGGAGGCTCAACAGCGACTGGCAGCACGGCCCTTTTAGGCGAGGGTCTGGTGAATACTTACCCGTGAATCCCCAGATACCCAGAGGCACCGCAGAAGAAAGGCCTGGTAACCCGAAGAAAACTCAGCCAATGGAAAACCCTGTGGAGGACAGTTCTACTCTGACCTCCGTGCCGTCTCTGGGAGTTCGAGCCCACGTGACAGCAAGTGGCTTTTTGGGGGTGGTGGTGGTGACCTGTATTGGAGGCCCACTCAGGCAACGCATCATCAGCTGCCCCCCCCCTTTTCTCCTGCTTGCAGAGACCCCTTTCCATATCAGCCACACCCACAGGTGCTGGGGATGAGGGCCTGGAATCCGGGGAAGGGGAAGAGGTAGGGGGTGGTGGTGGAATCCAACAGATGGAGAAGGGCAGAGGGGGCAGTCACCGGCTGGTGTTTCCCTCCAGGGCCCTGAGCGGGAGATGGATGCCATCCAGGCCAAGGAGGAGATGAAGAAGGCCCGAGAGGAGGACGAGCAGGAGCTGCTAGACCGGAAGTCTGACCCAAAGCAAAACTTCTGCAGTCGACACCACAGGCGAGAAGACTTGTAGCCACGAGTCATGGCGCATAGCGGCCACGCTGCGCCTTGTTGTTAACCTAAGTTAAAAGCTCCAACGTCTGCACCATCGCTTGTCTGGTCTTCTCTGAAACACGTTCCGTTCGTGTGTGTGTGTGTGTGTGTGTGTGTGTGTGTGTGTGTGTGTGTGTGTCTCAGTAAGGCTGGTGATGTGCCCCTTCGTGCCACCCCGCCCCCACCCCACTCCTGTCTGCCCAGAAACACACTGCTGCTTTCTGAATGCCTCCCCGCCCCCCCCCTAAAAAAACCCCACGTTTTTATACAATAAAAGTTTCAAACTTGAAAAAGGAGAATGCTGCCTCATTTGTTTGGTTGGGAATGACTAGGCCCAGCTATAGATTCCCTCCCCTTGACCCAGCCCCAACTGGCTGGGGTCCCTCTCTGGCATCAAACGGTTTGGCATTCCTCATGGTGTGGGACAGACACATTTGAAGTACCCTAATGAGGGTTCTTACCCTGGAGAAACCAGCTACTTTACCAACTCAAGTCAGAAGAAGAAAGAGAAGTTTCCTGATGGTCTCAGCGAGGAGATAGCAGCAGTGCCGCCTGTCTTTGTGGGGTCCTGTTTGAGGACAGATCCCTTTGACTTTGGAAGGTACGTGCTGGGGGAGAAAGACGGGGCTTTCTACTTCTGTAAAGGGCTACAGTCTCCTAAAGGTACAGGGCACTTCTCCCCAGCCCTATAGGGTTGCTATGAGTCAGCATTGACAAGACCGGGGGTTCTCCACCTTCCTAATGCCGCGACCCTTTCATACAGTTCCTCATGTGGTGGTGACCCCTAACCATAACATTATTTTTGTGGTTACTTCATCACTGTCATTTTGCTACTGCGATGAATTGGGCAACCCCTGTGAAAGGGTCATTCAACACCCAAAGGGGTTGAGACCCACAGGTTGAGGTCTGCTGGACTAGATAGATGGCAGGGGTGGTGGTACACTTTGGGAAGACACGCCTGGTTTACATGGTTTACATTAAATCATCTTGAGGAAACAACTGTTGACCATGAGCCAGCAAACAAGCACTAAAGTTCTTTAAGTCTTAGGCCAGTCTCAGCATCTCTTTGGTGATTAACTAGCTAGCAGGGCACAGCTTTTAATCACTAGCAATCATCTAAGAGGAGACAGGTGACCTCTGAACCCAACATGTCGGCTTTTGAGCATTGGAGCAAGTTATAAAAATTCCGCGGAGACCGCATTAAGTATCTTAGGCTAACTGCATTTGTAAGAGTTCCCCTCCCCCACCCCAAGTACATTAAGTTTATGTAAAATAACTTGGGTTATACCACCAGTTCTGGAGAACCAGAACAAGAGTCCTGGGCTGGAGACCTTGGATTGGGAATGGTGAGAATCCAACTGCCGTGCACTGGGGCACTCGTGACAAGGCACCCAGCAATATGCCACACTAGGTATCTGTCAGAAGGACACGGCCTGCCAGTGGCTGGGAGGAGGGCAGGAGCCCGTGCCCCCATCCTCTACCAGCCTGCCTGCCCACTCGGGTGGCTGATTCACCAATGCCACCATCTGAGATAGGTACTTATGGCAAGGTCAGCCCTTCCCAGGAAACCTGCCCGGTCTGCTTTGCTTACCCGGATGTGGAAATGACTCTGGATATGTGGGTGCCCAGTGAATATGTGACAGCGACGGACGTCAGTATATGCTCACACACAACCCTCTTCCCATAGGGCCCACCCATCCACCCACCCACCTTCCTCCCTTTCCAGAATAAAAACTGCACAGAAGTTGGGGAAGTGACCTGTCAGGTCACATTGTTAAGAGGGTGGCGGCTGGGACGTCGTCCTGGGCCTGGTGCCCTTGCTGGGGTCGGATGGGTGACTTCTCCACATATTCATGGTCCAGCCTTCTCCATAGAGGTGAGACCCGCCCCCTCCCCTCCCCCAAAGGTGCAAGGTTGACAGTATAACCGGAGAGATAAGTCCCGGACGATGAACGTAGATGGTTCACAGGGTTTACAAACCCAAGCGTGCCAACCTCTCCCAGTCCTCCCATCCCAGAGTAGTCTGCGCATGCTCCGCCCCGCCCTCAACCAGAGGGTGGGCGGGGCCCCTGGTGCGCGCGTGTTTGGCCCCGCCCCCTCCAGAGTTCCGTTGCGTGCGCACCGCCCTTCGCGCCAGTGCGCGTGCTCGGCCCCGCCCCCGGCCCCCGGCGC